CAAGGTAACATTTGTTGGATAGAGAATCATCCCCAAAATATCCTGTTCGAGAATAATACAGCTTATGTGATGGAAAACTTCCATTTGGATATCGTAACGAAAGCACACACCCTAGGGTCTTAGTAGTATCTCACGGTTATTGAGTAATAATTCATATTATTCATATTAATCATTTATTATTTATTTATTTAACAATAAAAATGATCAAGTATTTATCGTGATGCTTTTCTTCAAAATTTCATTATTTAATTTTTTTAATAAATTGAATTGCTTGTAAAAATAGGTCTAAGCTAATATCAAATTTTTGGAGTGAAAAATGGAATTTAACAAGACTGTTATTTGCTGATTAAACAATTTATTGCAGTAACGACAACGAATTGTCAAATGAGACTGATTTAAACCAGATTTAATTTTAGCAGTCAAATTTCAAGGAACTCACAACCAAGTAATTATTCTGCTTTTGTTGGGAAAAATGCCCTGAAATGAATAATAGGGCGGACATGCATACCTTACCACGCTCTGAAATTTTTAATGAATAAGAATTTCTTTTTTTTGAGAATCGCTTCCATAATTGGTTAGGCAAATCTGCAATTTCATCACGTCTCAAATTTTATGAAAGAACGTAATTTATATTTTTAAAGATAAAAGTGTTTTTGAAAAGAAAAGTGGCGCAAAAAACTTTAACAATAAAATTGAATATAAATATATTTGCTTCTAAAAATTTTCCGAAATTAGTAGTTTTGTTGTTTTTTAATATCAACTTGTTTGATCATTTGAAATGAGTTTTGTGTTGTACTATACCAAATATTCCGAGAAATGAATATATATTTGTTAAATTTATAATTTATGAATGTGAACTATTTTACATGATACTTTAAAATAAACACATAATTTGTCATCTGTAACATTTCACTTGGACAGGACAAAGTCTATAAAGAGTTCTAAGATACAAGGAATTTCTGATAATGTCATATTTGGTGTATCATCATTATTGTTGCCAGATTATAATAATGTATTAATTGTAGGTATCTGCTGTAGATAAATAACTGGAAAATCGACAAAATTGATTATCAAAGAAAGAAATCGAACGTATGGGCACGTAACCAATTTCAACGAAATTTTATAAGATTTTATTATTGTTATAATATTTTATTAATCAAGTCTGTTCGTAAGAATAGTTATCAAATCTGAAAGAGATTGTGAAGATGATGAGAAACTTGCAGAACAAAACTGGCTCGAGATAAATTAGAAAGTTATACAAATACACTTGAAATAAGATTATTTCATATTTGTTATACATAGATTTTCCAAATTTAAATCACCCCATATCAATGGGACGAGAAATTTCCTATTAATTTACTTTAAGTTCAACAATCGATTACATAGCTTAAAAATAATCAATATTCAGAGATAGATAAATATTATGATAAGAAGGAATTACTGGAAAACATTTCCAATTATGATAAAGTATTTTGATGGTGCAGAAGATGTTGACACTGAAGAAAATTCTGATGGGGTATTTATATGATTGAATTTATATTTTCTTGAGAATCGTGACTAACTATATTATAATATTTAGACTAACAGTTGAAGTTGATTAAATTTATTTTTATACAGCAAGATCTCATTATACCAAAATTTCATGACATATTCTTACACATCTTTTAATAAAATATTAACACTATCAATGTCAAGTAAAATCATTTCAATATCAGAATAAGTATTTTTAGACCGTTATAGTGTAATTGAAAATAAAAGAAAAAATGCTTTGATATTTCTGATATTGAAAAAGTTTACATCTTTTTTTGAAAACCAAATAATTATTTTATGAATATGAATAAAATTGCTTTAATAATAAATATTTTATGTAGACCTTTATAGTGTGTAGGCGTCCCTATATGGCAACCGAAACAACCGAGCATCAATTGATGCGGGAACCAATAATATCTTTTTGTGACATTTAAAAAAGTCTCGGATCAAAACGGTTTAAATTAATTCTCCAATTTTGAGTAGCAAATGGTGTTACATATAGTGCCAAGTTATTTTCATATGTATGTAATTTCACGCCTTTTTTTACTTCGTTGATAAGCAACTTGTGTAACTTTATTATACTTTTTTAAGATTTTTTTTTATACGTTGTTCGTTGAGTTCGCGACTATTAGTTTATCAACAAAAAACTTGAACATACTCATTAACTTTTAGTGGATCTTACTTGAAAAACAGTCAATTTTGCTTTTAAACTTATAAA